TTTTAACTTCATAGGTGTTTCTCTTATTAATTTCTCTCCATTTTCTATGATAATTTATTTCATTACTTATATTTGCCTTGGTAGTTGTATTTGATGTTTTTGTGTTTCTGAAGTCTAGACTGTTTGCCAATTGAATAGTATCCTTGTGTCTTTGGGGCTTTTAATAAACATCCATCTTTTTTTCAATAATAATTAGGCTTAGGTTTGTAGTGTATGTCACTCAGGGTGCATCTTGATCTCCTTTCTTCTTTGGAACACATTCCATTCACTTCTGAAGTTTCTGGTGGGTACAAAGTAGACTTATGTTAATCAGATTTTCTTTGTATTTGAAAGTCTTTTCACCTGGTCACTTGCAGTATTTTTTGTTTATCATTAGAGTTGTTGATTAATTACTGTGTATCTTGAAGTTTAAAGCATAAGATTTTTTTCCTGAAGCTATCTGGATTTTTTAAAATTTACATTTTGTTTGCTATATTCAGAAATTTGAGACAATTTTCTTGTATGTTTTATTGCATTTTGTGGTTCAGGTTTTTTGACTTGTCATATTCTTTTAGGAGATCAATTAGCCCTTAAGTTGTCTCTATACATCCTGTCTTTGAGACGAATAAAACATTGTACCTTAAGACCAGGTTGGTTTTATATCAGGAATACAAAGTTAGTTCAACATAAACTATGCCTCAAAAGTTACTGAGCTGTGCATATCCTTTGACCTAACAATATCACTACTAGGCCTATTTCCCTAAGAGATTAAAAAAAAAAGAACTTTATGCACAAATATTTATAAAGCTCTTTTTTGATAGCCAAAACTTGAAAACTAAAGAGTTTTGCCAACCTTTTGGGGAATAGCTAAACAAATTGTGGTATATGATTGTAATGGAATATTATGTGCCATAAGAAATGGTGAAATGGGCAGTTTCAGTGGAGAGTGGGAGGACCTCTATGTATTGTTGCAGAGTTAAATGAGATCTAGTTGAATAATTCATATAGTAAAATGTATAGAGAAGAATAATTTTGAATAACTTTAGAAATCTGATCAATGCAATGTTGATAGACAAGTACAAAAGACTGAAGATAAAAGCCACTTAGAGTGGTTATCAACTGAAAGTGTAGAGAGTGATATAAATTTTTCAGAAATGGCCATTGTGGGAGTTTGTTTTGCTGACTTGTGCTTGTTTATGATGAGAGGTGTTTTTTCAGGGGTAGGGGAGAGGGCAAGATTATAAATGCATGTAAAAATAAATTTATTTCAACAAATAATATTGTATTTGAAGCTGTCTTCTTTTTTTAGCCTTTAATTGACAAATGTTGTGTGATTCTGACTGGGTCCTTGGTACTTGAATTTTTTCTTGTGGTTTGTTGTATTTTCAGATAAGTTGGAAGCTCTGTGTCTGGGCTGTGACATTCCTGAATTTTCATTTTAGGGTTTCTTTTAGGAAAGTGGCAAGTGAATGGATTCTTTCTTTTCATTCATGATTACTTGAAATACAATATTCAGGCTTTTCTTATGGTCACATCTTTTAGGTAGCCCAATTCTTGTTAGATTCTTTTTCTCCTTGATTTTTTCCCTAGGTCTGTTTTTTACAAGTTACCTAATATTTTCTTGCGTACTTTTATTAGTCTTCTGGCTTTGTATTAACATTCTGTTGTCTCATGGAGTCATTAACTTCTGTTTGTTCCATTCTGATTTTTGGAGAGTCTGTTACTTGGGTCAGGTTTTGTATCTCATACTAAGTTATGAATTCTACTTACAAGTATTCTCATTTCTTTTCCAATTTTTTTACTCAAGATTTCTTTCATTTATGGTTTTTAAATATTTTCTTTATTTCTTTCAGGAATTGTAGTTGATCTTATGACCAGACTATGTTTTTCTTTGAGGATTTGCTTGTAGGTGTTCTTGAGATATTCTCTTCTCTATTTGTCTTGTGCATCCTTGGCTCCATAACAATTCTTTATCATGGATGTCTTTTTTCCCCTCTTTATTTTCTGAATTGGGACTTTTGTGTTTGAGCCAGGCTCTGAGCTTCTGGAGTGGTTGCCAGTGCCATGTTTGGTCCTGATCTTCTTCTCTTAGATCTTGCTGCTGTTTTCTCCATGAATCAAGTGCTGTGTTACAGGGTGACTCCAGCCAGAGACCTACAAAATTTCGGTTCGCCTTTAGTTGTCATATCTAGGAGGACATTTAATCACTGTCTTTCTGGCCTGAGCTTTATATAAGCTCCAGACTCTGGTTTGGGAGTGGGCAACACAATTGTATATTTGCTTTCCAGTTGGAACTGCAGGACACTGTTGCTGGTCCCAGCTACTGCTAGTTAATTGAATCTATGTTGGTTCAAAGGGACATTAATGTATGTTCACCTTTGGTCTGCATAACTAATCTGCAGGTTCCTGACCAAGTCTGTGAGTTGCCTCTCACTTCCATTCTTATTGCTTTCCCATTAGCTTCAAGCTGCGTTTCTCAAGGACCACTCAGTTCATGCTGGATTCTGAGTCAGGTTAGGGTCAGACTGACATATTTGCAGGCTGCCTGCTATCCTTGCTTCTTATCCTAGTACAGATGCAGGATGGATATAGCCTTATTGGCCGCAGCCCATTCACCATGCCAGAATCCTCTGCATGAGACTTCTTTTTTCCTCTGAAGCATCCTTTCTACAAGCACTCTTAAGTTGTGTGTACATAGTACCACAGTTTGCATAGGTTTCCATAGTGTGACCCTTCTTCTAGACTCCAATGCTTTCTGGCCATCTTTTGTGTAGTTTTGACTGTATAAAGGAGCTTATTTCTATTTCTCTTTGGTTTTCTTTGTCTCCTTTATCTGGAATCCTGTTCAGATATTCACTTGGGTATATACGGGAGATCTGAGCTCCTTAATATCTTTTCATGTCTTCTTAACTGGAAGTACATATGAATATATACAGAATAATTATAAATAAATGCAGTTTGGAGTTTTACTTTACAATCTGCAAGTTGGTAATAGGAACTGTGAGTTGATCCAGCAGTTATAGAGGACAGTTTGGAATTACTCAAGAAAAGTGATTAAATGCTCATCTAGTTTGACCCAGAGATCCCACTTTGAGACATATATCCTGAGAAAATCAAGAGACAAAAATAATGGTCCAGTTTATGAAGTGTCCCAAAAGTTTCAGTGCTGTTTAAAGCTGTTATAGTTTTAAAGCTACTAAAACTTTTAGTTTTAAGCTAAAACTTTAAATGTTTTAATAGTTTAAAACTGGACTAAGACTTTTGGGAGTGCTGTGTATAACAAAATATTCAGATTATCACTTTTTGAAGTAGTAAAGATCTAGAAACAAAATTGGTACCTATAGATTAAGGGTTATCTGAAAAAACTAAGGTATATGAATGTAATAGAATATTATTTTATAGTAAATGTAGAATATAAGGTATTCCGAAAAGCCTGGAAAGAGTTGTGTGAGATAATGCAGAGTAAAATAAACAGAAGTTTAAAAAAGCCCAATGCAATGACTACAATAACATAAATGAAAAGATCCCTAAAAAGAAAATGATGGCCCCAGCGATCAAATAAGGAAACATCTGTCTCCTTATGGTAGATTAATGAGCAACTCTTAGCACAGAACATTTTCTATGTTGTTAGATGCAGTCATTGCTTGCATTTAGCTATTAATAAATGAGGTAACATGTTTAGTTTTTTTTCCCCCCATTGTTTTGTTTGATTCAGGACCTGGGATTTCATTGATATGTAAAGGAGTTCACAGTGTAGAAACTCTCTTTCCCTATGCAGCTATAGCAAGGCTTCCCAATTTACAGTGCTGGAGGATAGCTCAATATAATCAAAGGTTAAGCATTTTGTTCTTGGGACATAATATGGGTCAGAGATGGTTCATTGATTCTAAGGTTGCCCTCTATAATCCACTGTGTCTGTCTACTATTATACTTTAGTTTGGTTGAAAGCTTTCATTTTATCATCCTGATATAGTTATTTTCAGTTTTCCCTTATAAATGTCAATGTGTTCCTCTTGACCTACATCCTAATACCTGTATTCAATATCTCATAATATTCATGTGTGCACATTATAAACTGTATATAAATTAATTTTTTCTCATGTAAAATTCTCCTAACATCCCTGAGTTATGCATATCAAATGGACTGGGGATTTACTAACAGTCCAATATGTCAGAAAAGACAGATGGAAAACTATTGAGCAGCTGCAGTAAGTAGTTTGTTGAATGAGAGACTTAGAATTTCATGTAGATTGTCAGTATGAAGTTATATAGTTTGAGAGAATTAAGATCATAGATTAGCTTATTTGTGTTTTTCTTAAATTCAGTAACTTGTTTGGGTTGAACCAGTTCTTTGCCATATATAAATAATGCTTAATGTTATTCAGTTGTGTTTTTTTTTACTCTGTAGAATGGTATCTTGTTTTATTTTGCCATTTCAAAATATTTTATTATTTTGCGAATTCAAATAGAATAATATGTTCATGGAAAATATATTGAGAATCTGTGAGAAGACTAGATGCCATTGTTGCATTCACCAATCCTTCAGTAAGCAAGTAGAATTTCATTTGCTTTTGTTTAAACTGTTTCAAATGTGTCACTTTTTTTGTTTTCTCTGTAGCCACTTACGAATAAAATGATTGCCTTCCATTTATCCAGTAAAATTTCTTGATGTCTACATGACACTAGTGTTGTCTTGACATTAATTCACGTGACAATTATGAATTGTTAAGAGGTATACAAAAATTCTTTCCTTGTGTCAAGTATTTTAGTGTCAAGTCTACCTGGTAATTTGTTTTTAATGCCTTTTTTAATTGAGTTTCTCAAAAAATCTTTTGGTTTATTTGACCAGTATTAATCTAGTAGCTTGTTTCATTTCCTCTGGACACAATCCATTTAAAAAAGCACACGTGCTACTCGGTACTACTTATTTGAATTCTGTTATATGTCCACTCACAGTGTTTTTTGAGTAGGGACTACAGCTAAAAATATCTGAATGTGTTTTTCTTTGCCTCTCTCTGCAGGATGACGTAGCCTTGCCAGAGAGTTAGAAGCTGAGCAGAAAATGAGCTTAACATCCTGGTTTTTGGTGAGCAGTGGAGGCACCCGCCACAGGCTGCCACGAGAAATGATTTTTGTTGGAAGAGATGACTGTGAGCTTATGTTGCAGGTAATTGCATCAGCCTTCATTCCATATGGGTCCACTTAAAAGTTTGAATTTTTACACAAGGTTGTTCTATTGAACTCTTTTGAGAGTTATAATGCTTTCAAGAAGTTACTTTAACTTTTTACGTATATAGGGCATCCCAAAATCTTAGTGCCGTTTTAAGCTTTGAAAGTTTAAATTGCACTAAAACTTTTGGAACATCCCATATGTGTATGTAAGAATGTACATATACCTTTTAGTTCTACTCATCATTATACTTAAAGAAACACTTGGTTCTGGTGCTGCTGAGGAAAATGAGTATTGAATAAGAAAGAATAGTTGTGTTTTGTTTTTAGTAAAATAGTAAAAGAGGCTAAATTGGATTTTTAAGAGTAGGAAGCATCATTTTGGAACAAGGTGACAGTTCAAAATAGCATTCTGAAATTAAGAGAGCACTAAGTAAAAAAAGTTCTTATCTTTTCTCTTTTGCTAATTCATTTTGTTTCTAGGTGTGCAGGTAAAAGAGCATTTTTTAAAACTATATATGGTGGTTTAACTACTGCATTTAGTGCTTTTCATCATGGTGCTTCCCAATAGGTTGATGACAAAAACTTTAACTGAAGTGCTGAGTATAATCACAGGTTAAGATTCCTTATGTTAGGTTCCTTTACATATGAAGGCATAATCTTTGAAGTGTCTTTGAGCATAACTGTGGATAAGATATTTAGCCACAAATGAATTGCAAATCTGCATTTTTCAGTTGGCTCTCAACTTTACTGTATGTTAAATTATAATGAATCACAGAATATGAGAGATGAAAGATCACAGAGCTTACCTAGTCAATCTTAAGGCATGAATAGGAATCCCTACTGCAACATTCCTGAGAAATCATAACCAAGCCTTCCCTTGAAGACACTGGGGATAGGTAATCTACTACTTCCCAGGAGATCCCATTTTGCTGAGCTATCTACTACTATTAGATAGGTCAGCTGTTGGGAATTTTTGTTGGTATAGTTGAAGGAGCACTGGCTTTTTAGTTAGAAGTTCCAGGTTCCAACTCTAGTTCTGCTTTTTATTGTGTGATTTCAGGTAAATAATTTCACTTCTTTATGCCTCAGTTTTATTATCTGTAAAAATAAGGGGTTCAGATTAAATGATTTTGAGGACAGCATGGTAAAATGAAAAGAGTGCTGGGTTTCAAGTAAGATGACTTGGGTTCAGATTCTGCTTCTGCTTCTGCTACTTACTTGAACACATCATTTAACCTCTCTTTGGGCCTCAGTTTTTTTCATCTGGAAAATGAAGGGGCTATATTGGAGTTTGAACTTGAAATCTATTATCCTGTGATCTTTTAAATCAGAGTTTCTTAAAACGTGGGGTCTGTGGACTTGTTTACTTAATATTTTGATAGCTGTAATTCACAATAATTGGTTTAGTAATCATTTTTGAATTTAAAAGCATTATTCAGAAAAGGGTGCCATATGTTTTACCACATTGCCAAAGAGGTACCTGACACAAAAAATGTTAACCCTGATTCAGACACACTGCTCAGCTGTAGTTTGTAAAATATAGCATTCCACAGTAAGCATCATACTCCAGTTATGGAGGGAGAAGAACAGTAGAACTGTCACCTCCTCCCAAGTCCTAACTGCTACGCTTTGCTTAATGTAACCTCAGAACCGAGATTGGATCTTCTGGTTGATACATGTTGGGCTTGGAATCCACTAAAACCTCTAGATCCTTCTCAGAGCAACTGCTTTTTTTTCTTTCACCTCATGAAGTCAACTTTTTTTTTTAGCCCAGTTGTAAGAATAGATTTTTCTCCTTCCTGTTGCCTGTGAAGATCTTTTTGTATCCTGACCCAATCATCCACTGTTTTAACTATTCTTTCCAGTTTTTTTGTCATCTGCAAATTTAATAAGCCTTCTATCCATCCTTTTGTCCAAGTCATTAGTAAAATCATTAAGCAATTCAGGGCATGCACCAATACTGAGGGCATTTATTTGAAGAATCCTCCCAAGTTGACATTGAACCATTATTAACTGCTCTTTAGTACTCTTTGTAGTTGAAAAGGACCTCAGAAGTGGTCATCCAGTCCAACCTATGCCCAAATGAAGAGAAGGGCTGATGTGCTGGAAAGAGCCCTGGAATATGGAATTAGGGGACCTGAGTTTGAATCTTGCATCTGCTACTACTAACTGTATAACTCTGGGCAAATCATTTAACCTATTCAGACGTAGAGTTTCTTCCAGCTAGGGTTTCTTCCAGCTCTATATCATGTAGAGAAAGCACTGTGCCTAGAGTCAGGAAGACCTGAGTTCAAATATGACCTCAGACACTTACCCCGGGCAGGTCATTTAACTTCTGTCTGCATCACTTTCCTCAGTTGTAAAATGGGGATAATAAGAGCATCTACTTCCTAAATGAGATAATACTTATAAAGAGCTATGCAAACTTTAAAGCACTACATAAATATTATTATTGTTTTTTGTTGTCATTATTAAGAAAAAGAAGAATCCCTTCTAAAACGTATTTGATAAGTGGTCATCTAGTCTGCTGATAGAAAATTCACTGTGCTTTGAACAACTTTTGGACAGCTGCAGTTCAGAAGTTTTATTTTACATCGAATCTATATTTTCCTTTCTTGCATTTTTGCTGGTTTTATCCTGGGATCCAAAGAGATTAATTAATTAATTAATTCCATTGCCCCATGAGTCCTTCAAGTACTTAAACACAACCATCACTTCTCCCTGACCCCTCCAAGTATTTTCTTTAATTGGTTAAACATTTTGGCTTTCATCAGTTGATCCTTGTCTGGCATGATCTTAGTCTCCCTGTCATCTTGGTTTCATTTCATAAATACGCTGTATTCAAATATGGTCTAACCAGGGTCAAGTACAGTGTTACCATCATGTTTCTTAGTCTCTCTTAATGAACCTTAAGATTATATTAGGAAGCGAAAGTTTGAAGGAATAGGAGATTATGGTGAGAGAGAGGAATTTCTTATTTCAGTGTTTTCTCAGTTGAATAATTTCAAATGATGATGAAATATAAGTTGTGACTACAATGATCAGTTGATAAAATAGGATATAGTTGTAAAGGCTTAATCATGTGCTAGATGCTATAGTAGGATGTGGAAGTTTAAAAACCAGTTTCTTTTCTCAAGGGAGGTGGCTTTGTGCCATGGGGAAGGCATTGATTTGGAAGCAGGAAAAATAGGTTTAGGTCCCGGCTCAGTCACTTATTATTTGTGTTACCTTAGGCAAGTCACTTAATCTACATCAAAAGTTCTTAAACCTTTTTTTGTGTTATGAACCCTTTGGCAATGTGGTGAAGCCTGTGGACCCCTTCTTAGGATACTTTTAAAAATATTCATAATTAAAGAAAATAAAGTTAGTGAAGTTAGTGAAAATAAAAATGTAATTTTTCTCCCCATCCAAGTTCATAGACCTTCTTAAATCTATCCATGGACTCCAGAGTTAAGGACCTCTGCTCTAGATTATTCTTAAGGTACTTCCTTCCTCTAAATCTGTGATCCTAAATAGCTTGCATTTTACTGAGGAATACAGCTGATTATTTATAAGGAGGTGAAGGAGAAAAAATTTGAAGACAATTCCTAGGTAGTGAATCTGGGTGATTGGTGGAAAGTTAGTAGGAGGTGTGGAATTATAGCAGAAGATTTCAGGGGATCTGTGAATTTTTAAAAAATATTTCAATAAGATTGGGTTTTCTTTGTAATATTCTCTTATTTTATTTTATGCATTTAAAATATTACTCTGAGAAGTGTTCTGTAGGCTTCACTAAACTACCAGAGGAGCCCATGACACAAAATAAAGATCAAGAATACCTCTTTTAAGGCTTTTACACTGGAGGGGAAATGGGGGAAGGTGAGAGAAAATGAGTGAATCTTATTCTCATCGGATTTGGTTTGAGGAGGGAATAACATACACACTCAGTTGGGTATGGAACTCTATCTTACCCTGTAGGAAAATGGGGTTGGGGGACAAGACAGCAGGAGGGTGATAGAGGGGAGGGCGAACTGGGGGAGGGGGTAATCAGAAGCAAACACTTCTAAGAAGGGACAGGGTCAAAAAAGAGAATACAATAAATGGGGGACAGGACAGGATTAAGGGAAATATAGTTAGTTTTTCACATGTCTACTATGGAAGTGTTTTGCATGACATGTATAACCTGTATCGAGTTGCTTGCCTTCTCAATGAGGGTGAGTAGGGAGGGAAGAAGGGAGAAAATTTGGAACCCAAAGTTTTAAAAACAAATGTTTAAAAAAAATTGTTTTCACATGCAATTGGGAAATAAGATATACAGGAAATGGGGTATAAAAATCTACCCTACCCTACAGGAAAATTGAAGGGGAAGTGGATAAGAGAATGGGGAAGGAATAGAAGAGAGAGCAGATTAGGGGAAGGGGTATTCAGAATGCATGCTATCTTGGAGTAGGGAGAGGGACGAGATGGGGAGAAAATTTGGAACTCAAAATCTTGTGGATGTGAATGTTGAAAACTAAAAAAAAATAAATTAGTAAAAAAAAAAAGAATACCCTTTTTAAAGATAGTCATAGTAAATCCTCTTCTAAATTTATTGGTTTTGCGATATCTGGGAAATACTGTTGGAAATGTCCAGCAGAGAGAGATAGGGGCCTGGAGTTCAAGAGAGATAAGGCCTAGTACTAGACGTATAAATTTGTGAATCATTTGTATATATATGACCATTGAATGAGAACCTATCAGGTCTCAAAAAGAGAAAGTATAAAAAGTATAGGAAGGCCCAGGAAAGAGCTCTTCCTTACACCTGTTCAGAGTAGGCAAGACATGGATGATAATCCAGCAAAACAGATTGAGAAGAATTGGTCAGACAAGTAGGAGAACAAACATGAGTTGAGTTAGTGTCATAATTAAATATTTAATTTAGGAAGAAATAGGGAAATTAGAAGATACATGTTTACATTTCAAATGAATTATTGGTGTTACTAAAGTTTTCACTACAGCATTCTTATAATCAGCTCC